AAATACTTAAACAGAACAAGATGAGGTTTTAACCTGACAGAGCTAGGTAGTATTGATATAACCAAAACTGCATCTAACATGAAAACCATCAGTCTGTCTTCCTCCCCACACCTCAAGTGTCCACTGTATTGGCTCGTCGTCAGAGTTAGGTCACCCTGTCGCTGTGTTCTGGGTTCAGAGGGTTTTAACTCAGGAACACACTGCTGGGATGTGGAGGTTACAGAGACGTCAAGCTGGAGTCTTGGAGTAACTACAGGATCAAACCAGAGGAAGACACACACTTTCTTTAACACTGATGTCTGGAGTGTGTGGTATCAGCCGGAGGAACTGACTGAATGGTCTGGTTTTCTTGTTAAACAGCAGCTTGATCGTGTGAGAGTGAATCTGGACTATGACAGAGGAACGGTGTCGTTCTCTGATCCTGTAACTCTACACACACTACACACATTCACAACCTCCTTCACTCACACACTATTTCCATTCTCCTGGTGTTTTCCTGAGGATTTTATATATATAAAAACAATCACTTAATAAGAGCATTGCTTCTCTTGTCATACTGATCTAGACAGATTTTGGAAAAAGTATATTCTTGTTCAGCTTTTGACAGAACTGTGAAGATCTGATTTCTCTGCTTTCTCTGTCATTGTTTTCACACTGAACACATGATAGACCTACTACTGCTTCTGACTTGGACTCTTTATTGGTGTCTTTTTTAGGATTTCAAGAATTCAAAGTGTCTGCAAGTGAAGAATCACACATTTATACTCTTATGTGAACAAATCTGTAAAGTGAAGGAAGACTCTCGTCATGTTCAAAAGACAGTCACTGTCGCCACCTACTGGTGTAATTATGTAACTGACAGAAAGAGTCACTGATCCGGATCAGCGGCTCTGACCAATAGTTGGTAATTCACTTTCCAAACACTGAATCAACTGTAAAATCAGAATATTTTATTTCAGAGGACCCAACACCCGTGAAGAGATGACGGCAGCTCTGTATCAACACACACAACTGCCAAAGTTTCTATATATTTCTGTAGCTAAATGTTAGCTCTTATGATTTGTATTAGACCTGTATGCACTGCTCAGGCATAACATTATGACCACTGACCGGTAAAGTGAATAACACTGATTATCTCTTCATCACGGCAGCTGTTAGTGGGTGGGATATATTAGGCAGCAAGTGAACATTTTGTCCTCAAAGTTGATGTGTTAGAAACAGGAAAAATGGGCAAGCGTAAGGATTTGAGCGAGTTTGACAAGGGTCAAATTGTGCTGGCTAGAAGACTGGGTCAGAGCATCTCCAAAACTGCAGCTCTTGTGGGGTGTTCCCGGTCTGCAGCGGTCAGTATCTGTCAAAAGTGCTCCAAGGAAGGGACAGAGGTGAACCGGGGACAGGGTCATGGCGGCCAATGCTCATGTGAATGCTGGCCGTGTGGTCCGACCCAACAGACAAGTTACTGTAGCTAAGATTGCTCAAGAAGTTAATGCTGTTTCTGATGGAAAGGTGTCAGAATACACAGTGCATCACAGTTTGTTGTGTATAGGTCTGCATAGCCGCAGACCAGTCAGGAATCACACATTTAAACTCTTATGTGAACATCTGTCCACCGCCGAAAGCACCAACAGTGGGTATGTGAGCATCAGAACTGGACATGGCCAAGGCTCATTGATGCAAGTGGGGAGAGCATGATCAGCCCGATCACACAAAAGAGCTACTGTAGCTCAAATTTCCGAAAAACTTAATGCTGGCCATTATATACATTTGTCAGAACTCACAGTGGATCACAGTTTACTGTCAGAGTGCCCATGATGACCCCTGCCCACAGCTGAAAGCACCTAAATGGGCATGCAACCATCAGAACTGGACCATGGAGCAATGGAAGAAGGTGGCCTGGTCTGATGAATCATGCTTTCTTTTACATCACGTGGATGGCCGGGTGCGTATGCATTGCTTACCTGGGAACACATGGGGCCAGGATGCACTATGGGAAGAAGGCAAGCCGGCGGAGGCAGTGTGATGCTTTGGGAAACCTTGGGTCCTGCCATCCATGTGGATGTTACTTTGACATGTAGCACAAAAGCATTGTTGCAGACCATGTACACTC